CCCAAAAGAAGCAGAAGAAAAAAATGAATAAAGTTTCAGCAACTTGTATAAATAAAAATGTTTTGGTATACAAGTGATAATATGTTTTTTATGGCTACTGCCGATGCTGTCGAAGTTCGGTAGCTGGCTGAGCTGCTCTGAGCCAGGCTAATATTTGTTTAGCTGTGTTCAAGTTTGGTTCGACTCGGCTCGCTTTCGTGCAAACAGGCAAATCAAACAGCAGTTTGAGAGCCATAGTTATGATACAAGTATTTCGTCCATGTTTCGGGAAAAGTTTTTCTCACTCCCGGGCTCCAGTTCTTGGCCCTTTGCCAAAGTGCACGGAAAAGTGCAGTCAACTGTTGGCAATAAGCCAAAAATGTCGTCGGGTAAAAACTGTTCAATCTACTGGCGGCTAAACTGCTACAAATCAAATATTATTGCCCAAACGTTTTTCTTTTAGCTAGCAATTGTTTATTTAACCATAAACCTTTTTGTGCGACCCTCTTGTTAATAAATATTTAAACGGCAATACAGCCGAACGTGTTGCTAAATATATAGCCATGCGGAAATGAATTTATTTGTGCTGCTGCTGGCAAATGGGGGTGCCACAGATGTTTGGCTAAGTCTAGCATGGGAACCTGTGTGCATCGAATAGAAAATAGCTCGTCGTGTTCTTTGTCTCTGCTTACTCATAGACGAGACACATGTCACCGAGCCAGACCCCGCAGAATCTTCTGTCGATGCAGACATAAATTTAATTTAATTGAATAAATTGCATGTAATGTATGGGGAAAATTGCAGAGCATGCACGGCTTATTAGAGATAAAATTATTATAGGGGTATCCTGTCAACTGTTAACAATCTTATTTTTGGCAGCAAAATTTCAAATTTTTAATATACAACTGTGCTTAAAGCAATAGAACCATTTGCATGCCTTTTTAAAATCCTAACAAATATGATTTCAAAAGTTTTTGTAATAATTATCTAAGTTATTTTATGCTCCAAAATGTGATACTATCTAATTATATTATCAAATTATAATATTTTATGATTCTTTTCTTAACACATGCTTTTAGTAGACATTTAAAATAGGCCAACTACTATAATTAAAGCCACATCCAAATAAAAAAATAAAGCACACCTGCCAATAAATATTGATACAACAGTTGGATTCGACAGCTGTTAAAGCTTAAAATATCAATATTGTTTCATCAGAACACAATTATTTTTTAATTCATATTTCATAAAAATAAAGAGGAAATTGTGAATCGGAGTCCACAAATGTAAAGCTTACCCTTTCTCACATAGTTCAGCTCGTCAATAAAATGGCAACATTTCTTGGAATCATTTTTCATTGCCTCCTTCAAATCACAAATAATATAAACAACAAAGTCCATTATTTAGTGAGTGTCAGCTGGCGGCTCCTGCTTGAACACGAATCCACACTTGACAGTTTCTACGAAACGCAATAAAATATTCCGCATTTCCCTTTTCGTCTTGCCACTTACTAATAAATTCATTTTTGTCAGCTCCCGAAATGCACTTAGCCATTCATTTCACAGTACTTAGTTGCACGTGCCAAAACAGAACTAAAAATAATTTATATGCAAAATAGAGAGCAAGGGGGTGCCAAAAAGATAGCAAAATTATTGGCAAAGTGTCGAAATTAATTTAAATGTGTGTTTTCTTTTTGCGAAGAAGGTCCGCTGAGTGAGGCGCCCGATAAGCTGGTAAAAAACTTACAAACAACTACGGGTAGGAAAGATTCAAGTCCCCAGCTCCAAGATTTTTGCTTGCTGTGCGACAATATTTGAATCGTGTCATGGAATATTCCATGAATCTGTGTTGAGAACTTGGCTGAATGTTGACGGGCCGCCATAACAGCCCGACACATCCCTTGGCCTCGGCTCTCCGTAAGTTCAAATATTGTGGTGGTGTCAGGAGGAGGTGGGTTACATTGGATTGGATGCCTACATATGTTTCTATTGCCATTGTGACGTCACCCGAACAGAGGGACGAAATATCAGTGAGTCGCGAATCGTGAGTCGCGAGCGGGTTGACTGTCAGCGATAAGTCGGAGGCAAAGCCAGAGACAGCCAGCCCGACGGCATATTTATGGGCCCATTTCCCCAAACAAATCCCGGCCATACTATATATATGAGATAAACCAGTGTAAGCTGCGTGAGAAAGGCACAGTTCCACAGATTCTTGGCGTAGGACTGGGCCAAAATTTAACTTAATTTTAAACTTATTGTAGAATTTCTAGAAAAACAGAACGGGTATGTGCGGTGTACGAGCAAATATATTAAATCATTTTGATTATGCTGTTAAATGTTCTAGTGCCCCATCAGCGATAACGTAGCGGACTGATAAGGCCCGTCATATATTTGCATATTATACGAGTAACATGGCCTGACTTTGACTAAGTCTGCAGATTGAATTCGAGCTGTAGTAGTTTCGTGAAAAACAAAGCACTCCACGCGGACCGACTGCAGCTGTCATAAATACACAGCCCACTTCGCGGAAAGCGACGATCCCCAAAATATTGAACATAACATAAATCCACAGCCGTATCTCAAAAACCCGTGCTGTTTTTTTTTCTGGCCTCTCAAGGGTGTGCAGTCGAGTCAATGCACTCGGATTATTCAAGTTCACATGCAAATTGGATAAGTCCAAAATCGAATAGATTTACGACGGGTCGTATTGATATTTAATTCTTGGCGAGCACCTATGACAGGTTGGGCCAAACTTCCGTGAGGTTCATTGACACAGCGTTTAGATAATCTCGGCTCAGTCGTTAGTTTTCCGCTCTTTGACATCATCTGGCGCACTGATGTGTCATTATCTGCGGATCGGGGCAAAAAAGCAATATGTCGCAGTCGAAAAGTTTATTTCCTCTTGCCAAATCGACAAATTTGCTTAAGATGACAGCCAGCTTGTCCACCCACACGACCTTCTTTGCCCCCCACCTGACTTTCGACAGTTCTTAGCATCCAAATTCAATTTATTCATTTCTGTGTTTGTATAGACCGCTTGTGCTGAGAATAAAACAAGAAAATATCGAAATCTGTGCCTCTGTGCCAACTGCCAAAATTTGTTCTAATGAGATTTGGCATTCTTTTTTTTTATATCTTGTTACTCAGCGGGTTTTCAAAAATGGTTTTTTAATGTTGCTTAAGTTTTTTTTAATTATGCAGCTATTCAAATTAATATTTTTATGGATTCACACCACGGAAGCAAGTTGACATTTTGGGTAATGTTTGGCGGACTTGCCATATCGGAAGAAATTAGTTGATTTTACGAGGGAGCCTATTTTTAGCGCACATATAGAAAAGTGTTTTTTAATTTATTCAATTTGCAGTTTAGAGCTTTGCTTTTAATTACAATGATTGCCTTTGAGCGTTGGTGTTGCTGCGTTTGAGGGTTTCAATGGCGCTTTTACGCGCTTCTCTTCAATCCAAGTCAAGGGCCCTTCTCAGCGCTTCTCAATTATTTCACCTAAGCGACTAGTTTATTATTATTTTGTTTCAAACTCGTGTAAAAGTTTTAGGTTTCATGTTTCGCTAAAAAAAAGACCGTGTGCCTAATTAAAAAAAGCTAATATAATGCTAATTTAATCTGTGATATTTTAGTCAATTTGTTCACACCGCTGTCATGTTTGAAACTGGAAATTCTATTTTCGGACTACAATTGGCAAACAACAGAAGTCTTTTTTACGCCGAATGATGTGTAGAAATGTCAGAGGCCTCACCGAGGCATATTAAACGCACCATAGAGCGAGTCGCGCAGTGAATCATAAAATAAATAAATAAGTGCGACGCTCGCGGTGACCGATTTGTTGAGGGACAGCAACGCATCCGCTAGATACTCACTGGGGGTGTCCGAGAGTTCGGTCTCCGTTTCTGCTTCGGTTTTGATTTTGTTTATGTGCCGCATTTTTCTGTTGAAAGACCAAACACAGACGTTCCGTTGTCACCGCATTGCTGCAAAAATTAGCGTTCCTAAATGGAATATCAGTCCTACTTATCACATTTCTTGACTTGGACTTGCCCAGGGCGGCAGGGTGAGTCAGGTGTTGAGGTAAGCCATGGCTCTTTGATATTTTACCCGGTGCCAATCGATTAGTCATTGCACCGCCCATGCGCCCGTCCTCTAATCCCCTAATGCCCAACAATTCGATAGGTTTGACCAAGTGTTTGATCTCCGTGGTCGAGTTCTAAGTAGCAAACCCGTACTCGTACCAATCACCGACTGCCATATAGAGAAGACATCGTGACACCTCCGCCGCTTTCCTCTTTTCTTAAAATGTGACAGTCAAATGGGTTGTACGACTTACGGAATGGGTACACACAGAAAAATGATGATGCACTTCTATTTAATATTAGCTTTTACTGCTAAATAGTATTTGCTCCTACTAATCCACATAATAAACGTTGATAGTCTAGATGGTATCTTTTTTGGGTGAACATGGATTCGAGCTCAATTCTCACTGTTGTTATAATATCTTTTTAATATCCGTATAACATCTTAATTATAATTTAAGTTCTAGCATTAGGTCAACATTTAAATGAATACTTGTTTCTCTCTGTGTGCAATTCGTATTCATTTTTTTGAAATGAAACGAAACACGCGTATGCCACAAGAATACCAAAATGAACAAAAAAAAATTAAAAATTTATATTGTGCTGTTTCTTTTCGGTTTATGAATCAATTAATATGGGTTCGGGTGGCGGGCGGACGAACCAATGCTGAAATGCTGAATGAAATGCTGAACTTGCGCGCCCCTCCGTCTGGTTAAGTGTTTGTTCGTGTTCTAGAGCTCTTGTCGGGGAAGTTGAGAGCAGGTTGGATCGATAAATTCACTTGAATCGCAGGGGTCTCTACTAATTGGTTGGAAGAAATGTTGTAGAACTCTTGATGCGAGCCTCTGGTGCTGCAGATCAGGAGACATGCGTGGGTTACTTCGAACCGCTTTCAAGTCCCCAATTGAACTGCCCCCAGTGAAAAAGTCATGATAATTAATTCTTTTAAGACACATAATCTTTTATTTGAATAGTTTCTTGCTCTTTTTGTGGTTTGGTATGGATTGGTTGTGTTTCATTTTTTCAATTTATTAGCAGCTTGGCTGGAAAATACCGGATTAGACTTGCAATAGCCACCAATTGTTGCTGTTAATTTTTCGTGTTTTCTGCATTTTGCATGGGCTTTCATTTTCTTTTCGGATTAAAAGCTAATTTGTCACATTGAACTTTGTTTTTGTTTTACATTTGCTTTGCTCTTACATCGAATGGTTTAGCGAATGACAGTTGAATAAATTTGAAAAAATATCACTATTTAGTAAAGGTATGTATACACACATAAGCTTGTATATAGTATAACTATTAATACATGTTTTAAGTTTTTTTTAATGCCATTCGAAATTACATTCTTGGTTGCCCCCTTGCTCAACATCACAATAATTGGTTTTGAAATATTTTCTTTGTCCGACACACATGCATAAATATTTATAGATATTTCCTATGCACACTCTTTATAAAATATAAACTTTAGAAATATAAATTCGAGGTTGTTTAGTGTTGTGTGTGTGTGTGTTGCTACTGGGTCTTGTGTGCAGCCGAGGGAAATCAAAGCAGGAGAACTTAAAGTATAAAGCTTTTTGGCCTGGAGCGGACTGAAAAGAGACAAATGCCAGGGCCACTCGAGCATTTTCCCATGCATTATTCATGGGCCGAGTCGATTGGCTCTGACCTTTGACCCATTGCCGCAGCCCATCTCGCACTTTAAATTAAATCTAATGAGGTATTTAGCTGCACGCAATGCCCGCGGAGTTCTAGAAAAGCAAATTGACTTAATGGCTCGATAGCTGTTGGCTAACCAAGGGCTAACTAACTGCTGCTGACTGACAATCTGGCCAACTGGCCACCACCTTTGCACTGGCTAAAAGGCATTTTCAATATGAAAATGCCGCCTGCAAAAGCAGCTCCAGTTGGCCAGCTTAAGAAAAGCACTGCTCGGCACTAGGTGCTCGGTTCTACAACTTAAGCTCTACAATACACATATGCTTTGCACATTGACTTAATTAACTTATGAATTGAATGTATGCGTCTCTTCTTGTTTAGCCAGAATGTTTTTTTGGAGTTAAAGCTTTGCGGTGTGGATGTCTAATAAATATGTACAATCGTTACAATAAATAATTAATTAGTGCGGGAGCTCAAAATAACTGTGCGCTGTCTTTGCTATTTGTGGTTTCACTTGAGTAAAAACATTAAATGTTCATATGCTTGTTGCTTAGGTACATTGATTACGTTCTCGACTTGGCTTGGCTTGGTTCCACTTTTCAGTTTGATATCCACCCTAAGAATATAACTCCTGTTCCTCATTCTTTGTTAATTTGACTTGTACACAGTTCTCTATTTGTTTTAAAGGTACTTTGTTATTTTTTTCTTTTTTGTGTTATGTTAAAGCATCTCAAACTTGTTAGTTTGACTTTCTTTGTGTGTGTGTTTTTTTTTGGCATGAGAAGCTTCTAGGACAGCATGATCTGGTCTTAAAACTCAAATTCAAACAGTTGTCTTTGCTAATTGCTAAACTTACAAATTACGAATACTGTTTTTAGAATTCTTCAGCAAGCGAGTTTAGTGTTTGTTTACTTTCTAAAATATATAGTTAATAACCCCCTTATTTAGACCTCTGTGGGCAAACTCTGGCTCTGGCACCCCGACTGCAGTTTCTTGGAGCTGCGGAAGAACATGTCGAAGATTCTGGCCCGCCGATTCTGAAACTTTTGAGGAGTCGTGGGGGTTATGGCTATATGCTCCACTATGGTGATGCCCCTCTGCAATTTGGGGCGTTGAGGACGAGGTGGGGCAGCCACCGTAGTAGTTGGCGGTGGTGTCGACGGTGGTGGCTCCTCGGAATCCGCCGAACCCCTGGCTCCACCAAAGTTAATGATGGTGCTGCAGCTGCTGTTGGGCCTCAGAGTCAAGGTCGTATGCACTGGAACTTGACCCACCAGCGAACTCTGTGGCGTCAGGTACCTGCAACTGTTGCTGCTGTACTGCGACAACTTGCTGCTGTTGCGCTGCAACTGGGCACCTCCTGCAGCAGGACCTGTGGTGCCATTGGTCTTCACACTGCTGCTGCAGTGGCGCTGCAAGCCCGTCGACGATTCCAGGCCGAACAAGCGCTTGACTCCGCGCCTCACCCTTTTGTTTCTGTAGGCGAAGATGAACGGCGAACTGAGGTTGGCCAGCAGGATCATGAAGATAGCCAACTGCGAGGATCCACCAAAGTTGGCAGCCGAGAGCCGCGACTGCAGGAGTACCAGAAGGCCGAAGGGCAGATAGGAGACCACAAACATCACCACCACCAGGATGCTAATCCGAGCGGCTCGCGACTCCTCGCGGTATTTAAAAAGCGAACTGGCATTACTCAGGCGATGTCGCAGGGAGCTCATGTAGCTGAGAGCCTTGGGGGAGGCGTGGATGGCGGGTATTTGGAGGGCGTGGCCGTGCTGCTGATGGCGCGGCGAACTGAAGTGCGGGTGATGTTGCTGGTGGAGGTGTTGCTGCTGCTGGTGATGCAGGTGCAACTGCTGCGACTGCTGCTGCTGTTGCCTTTGGGCATGACCCAAAAGGTGCGGTGAGCCGCACTCCTCGCTCAGAGAATCCTGCCGCAGTTCCGTGTATTTGTGCAGATTCGGGGAACTGTGCACCTGTCGAATGCCGACCAGGCGATCAGACTCCCTCAGATCCTGCGAGGAAGTGCCCAATAGTGGCAACTGCCGGGCGGAATAGTTCCTCTTGATCTCTCCACTGGCCGTCTGCAGGGTCAACATGATATTCTGATTCCTGTCGGACAGCGTGTGCTCTTGCACGGGCATTAGTGGAACGCCCGTGGCACTTTCCGCATCTGAGCCACCATCATCGGATATGGTGGGCAAAAGGACCTTGGCCGCCGAATCCCTGCGCAGGCAACTGGGCGAACTTCTCGGCTGTTGGCGCTGATCAATTTGCATCTGGAGGCCGCCCAGGCCCATGCCCAAGCTGCTGTTTCCGCCATGCGAACTGGCCGAGGATATGGAATGCCGGTGAACACACAAGCTGTTGGAGAACTGATTGGCCTGAGCCGCTTGCTGGCCAGCTGTTAAGTTCAAGGCGCTCTGCAGCAGCGGCGAAGATCCATTCTGGCGCATGCGCAGCCCATTTCCGCGGGCCTCGCTGAAAATCCTCCAGTACATTCCGCACACGAAGCCGAAGGGCAGTAGTATGATCACGATGAAGTAGACACTGGCGTATATCACTCCGAAAATACTGTTTGTGCTGCTGATGTTGAAGTACGTGACTGCAAGGCGACGTTGCCGGCTGAACAAGGTGTCTGCCTCAAAGTCCAGAACGCGGAATGCGGAAAGGGCTCCGAACAGAATGCCCACCACCCAGGTGAGGGCTATGAAGATCCAGGTCTTGACCCCCGAAATACGACTGTGATAACGCAGGGGATCTGTGACGGCACACCAGGTATCTCCCACAACCAGTAGGACAGCTAGAGCTCCCAGGGCAGCAGTCATGTCTATGGACCAACATCTCAGTTGGACTGGTGGCAGATTGGGAGCTGCCGTGGGTGGACTCTCAAAGGCCGAGAGGTTCTCCTCGTGGGTCTCCGTCTCCGTGATGACAAAGCCACCATCTCCGCGCTCGTCGATGGTCAACTCGCGGCAATAGGTGGCATTGCACTTGAAGAAGGTCTCCAGTGTATCGCCGTTCTCGCTTGTATTCCTGTGCACCACCACGCCATCTTGCTCCACCAACTGACCATTTCGCCGGAGTATGACCTGGTGGTTGCCCGGCTTCGAGACAAACTGCAGGGTTTCCGCTGGTGAGGAGGCCTCTGAAGACTTGCCAGGCAGTCCCAAAAATAGAGTGGGCGCCAAGATGCAGCAGCCAATTAGATTGATGGCCAGCAGATTGATCGTGAACCGATTGGCGGTGGTCCTTAGTCCCGGCGTTATCCAAAAGGCACACAGCGCCAGCAGGTTGATCAGGAACGAGACGAGCAGCAGGGCCAGGATCAGGAGGTCTATGGCCATTCTTTATGCTGTTTTTCGATTACCAAACATCACTTTACAGTTTCACATTCACTACACGGCCTCTTATTTTGTTTGGCTTTTTGGTTTTATTTTGTTTTGGCTTTGCTTATGACACAAATTTCACTCGGTATATCCGCTGTCTCTCCGTCTCTTCACATTTGCAGCCAATTTTTGGTTTTTTTTGTTAAATATCTTTTTTTTTTTGTGTTGTATGTTCGACGGCGGCTTGTTTCTTGCGAACGCTTGCTAATTTACGTGCGAGATTTGAAAAAAACAATTTCTTTTTAAGTCTGAAGCAGTTGCTTTTTCACTTGTGTTTATTTAACGTGTCTTGTCAATTGTTTTGGGGGGAACTCTTGATTTAATTTTTTTTCGACGTGTATTTATCACGCGCACCGATCGGACGAGCACGATCTTCACTCCGAAGCGTTCCAAGCACAACTGTCGTGAGCGGTCGCCGCAACGCCTCCAAATATACGCGAACGCTCCGCGTCGAGTGCGAGCGAGAGGGGCCGCCGGTGCGAGGGAGACGGAGCAAAGCCAGCGCGAGAATGGCGAGCGTGAAGAGCGCTTGGGAGAGCGACGAGAGCGCAATGTTGCTGCCGTGCTGCGATGATTGTTGCTGCTGTTGCTCCTGGGATTTGTGATTCCCACGCTCCGACTTTGAAATTATGTTGCTGCAAGTGGCCGCTTCTCTGTTGCCAGCCGGTCTTTATCAGTTGTTGTTGCTGCTGATGGTGTTGTTGCCCCAAGTGTTGCTGTTGCTGCTGGAATTATTGCTGCTGTTGCTCCAAGTATCGCTGTTGCTGCCGCTACAGTTGTTGCTGTTGCTGCCTCTATAGTTGTTGCTGTTGCTACCGCTATAGTTGTTGCTGTTGTCCTAGTTCACTCCAGCAGCAATACAAATTGTATAATCTGTTTCTTTTTTTGCAATGCCAATTGCCGCTTCACTTTTGCTCTGTATTACATCACTTGCTCAATGTTATTGCTGCTGCTCGTGCTTTTCCAGTTTGCAAGACATATTTTCTTCTGGCTTCTGCACAATTTCCAATGTGCAACGACGGCCGCGCTCTATTTTCTTAACCATAAAAATTGCATTTTTATTGGGCCGACTGCTGCTGCTAAATAAACAACAACAGCTGATGAAATTCCCACCGTTGGGCGCCAGCTGCAAGGAAGAGAAAAAGAGAGACAATGAGAACTAGAGCGAGATAGCAGACAAGAGATATGTCCGAAAGATAAGACACTGTTATTATTGCTTTTTTGATTGTGAAATTAAAAACAAATACATGCTGGACCAAGATGATATAGCAGATTCGGGTTGCCTTCCAAACTCGTTCGACAATGACTCAGAAAATATGATAATTTCTTTTCAAATAATTGAAAATCGGCACGCTCCCGCTATGGACATATGAAATTTCTTATCGGTAGTCGGGCGATAAGGCATTAATCCAGTTATTTTATAAGGGAACCGTCCAGAACCACCTTATAGATACCTATTGGCAATTACCCAAAATGGTATAAGAACCATTACTATTCATCGCCGCACGCTCAGTCCACATGAACCCCCTTGATTATAGGTAATAGTGTTTTTTTATAACTACGCATTTTCCCTAAAGTCGGTACACAAATCGGACGATCAGCCGGTTACAACATGAACGGAGAATTGACTTTAATGAGCTCATCGCAAATTCTCTTCGGTTCCCAGTAGTTATAAAAAGTTTGAAACATCTGCCAAAAGTCATTGACACTCAGAAAAAATCCTGTTTGTTTTATAAGTTATCCTAGGAAAATATTGTAATGATTATATTGTGAAATACTTTTATTTATGTAAGGCTAAAGTTGTATATTTTAATATTATCATAAAAATTCTTTCGAGCATAAAATATTTAAACGATTTAAATTGTTTAAGAAAAAAAGTCGTTATAAAATATATGATTTAAAAATATAAGGCACATAATTAAAGTATTTTGACTGTGCATTTCATCATCTATATACATAGTTCTATGGAACACACGAGCCCCACATTTTTTTTGTGAACACGCGACCGGAGACTGTGAAAAATCAACAGAAAATAATTTTCTTCTGGGTAAGTTTTTTTTGTGTCAGGTCTGAGCGGCGTTTGCATGCCCTACTTACGCCAAGAGATATATATATTTTTATTAATAGCTGCGATGCCCGCAAACGAGTCGTGAAAATGCAAGAAGATGTAAAATGAATGATTGCCGATAAAGATGGCGCATTTAATTGCTGATTTGCCCACAGAATCAACTGGGGGTGAATTATGGCGATTGTCACGAAAAGATTTATGAAATTTAATTATGCAATGACTTTATTAAAATTTAATTATAGATTGCGGACAGCGGGCTTTGTTTTGGTATTTGCATATTTATTTCCATTATTAGCACAGCTAAAGAGCAAAATAAATATATTCAGAACAGAATTAAATAATTGTGACAGATTTTAATTGTGTGTATAAATAATGGCTTACAGGAACACAAATTATTTTCAATTTCCAGTATATATTCTCATTTATTAAAGTTAAATATAAAATATTTATTTGTTATATTGAAATGCATATTTTCTTTATATACCAAATCTTATTTCTAACTAATACCCTACAAAGTCAAACATTCGCCCCCAAACAGTAGTGTTATCAATTTGGAACTCGATCAATGTCCACCAGCCATCGATCATATAGCAACATCCCCGAACATTTACATTTAACTAAAACCCATCCAAGCGGAACATCCATCACTTTACGGCGTGTGACATTAAGTCAATAAAGCGCCCGACTAATTCATATTTACTTTGGGCCGATCTAAAGATCTCTCTGTGGACATTATCTATGGCATTTTAAAGTGTGAAAGCGATCTTTTAGCGGCATTTTAAGGGTGCGAATTTAACGCTCGTTTTAACCATTCGTACGTCATTTGATAGAGCGGGTTGGGGGCAAGCGAATTCAAATTAAAATCAAGGTGGCATTCACATATTTCAAACGGTTATCAAAGGAAGGAAGCGTTCCTTATGATTATATATTGATAGTGGAACACAAAAGACAATTTGCACTTGATCAAATACGACTGCAAGTGCTGATTGTACGCATATATGTAGACTCTGATTGTTCGTTTCCCAAACTGAAACGCAATAGTGTTCACTTTGTTCTCAAAATGAGAGTTTCCGCTTGCATGCAGACTCTCGGATTTTAGGAATTTAATTTACTTCATGGGATAGACTATATATCCAAGAGTTAAGATCAAAGTCGTTTTACCGAGCAGCTACTTGTTCTTTTTATATATACTTCGGTTGAGGGTTTTTGATTTAGATGACATTTTGATTGTGCATGTCTACTGCAATTAACAATATTCATTGAATTCTTTATCTTGACAACCCTAATATTAATTGTATTTTATAAAAACGCATCAATGTCAACTTAGTGAAATCCCTAGTAATTATAATTGACAAATTAAATACTGGAAATTCAATATGACAAAGTATTAAAAATTGTTATAAATAAAAGTTCCTTGCTGTGATCGTTACATTCAAAACTTTAACAAACGTTACATTTTCCAAACAAATAACATAGTAATATTTCTTGGAATTAAGAAAATCTTCGAAAACGTTTTCCGTAAATAAAACTTCTATAGTCTTCCCCTTTCTTAACTCTAATCTCTATATAAAGACAAAAAAAAGCAACATTAAAAAAAATTTGAATAAAATTAATACTTTCAATAAGAGTGCTTATTACTTCGGCTTGGTGGAGTTATCGTGGCCCTATTGTAAAGAATTTTTATGGCCAGCGACAATTGCATCGAGATTTGTCTGGACAGGTGTTTGCCATTCCATCAGGGGGTGTGAGAGCCGTGTATCTACGTATCTGCTTGTGAGTATCTGTGGGGTCGAGTTCCGAGTATCGGAGCTGGACAGTTTGTACGGCGTCTGATGATCGGGTTAAGAATTTGCACCGGCTGGATAATGCGCTCATTTGCATGACTCGACGGAAAGATAAACTTAAAGCATGAGTAAACCAGCTGTTAGATCGCCCCTCTGAAAAAATACCCGAGAACAAAGTGCCAGTGATATTTATATGTTAATGTCCCGTCGAACTTTTTCACTCTGCTGGCCAACTGAGGAGGCTGGTCTTTCGACCATCGCTGGGGGACTCACAGAGCACGTGATCTGGATTGATCGGACTGAGCATGAATAACATCGAGTCGGAGATAAAACCAAAACAGAGTGAGTCCCAGGCCAGCACAAAGAGCCGTTCCGATCGAGGCTGTCTATGTTAAAGCCGGTTTTTCAGCGCATTTGTACCGCTTTTGTCTCTACTTCACTCTTTACTTCGGTCGCGATGTGACGTCACTTTCGACGATGCCTTTTTTGCATGCATTTTGAGTACTCACCTCTGAAAATATTTAAATAAAGTTTTTGCACTCAGTCTCGGACTTCACACTGCCCTCAAGTCGTTGCACGTGTTTATCGGTAAAATTAAAGCACTTAAGCCTCATAAGATCATAAAAAATTCATAAAAACAATATTTAACCCATATTTGTTGCCTGTTCAATAACTTTATATTTCCTACCCAAATTGGGTGCGATTTTCTTAATGTGCACCGCAATGAAATATATTTCTACTTGTTCTTAAGATTAATTTTGTGATTTTGCAGCCAACTGTCTTATTTCAATCAATTTTTAAGTGGCCATGAAAATTGCTATCAGTTAAAAGCCAGTTATGTGAGCACTCAATACAAAATTTATTCAACATTCAATATGCATTTTTGATCTCAGCTTATAAGCTCAAAATTATCGTTTTTTTCTGTGTGGCGCCTACACGTGTGTGCATTCCCCCAAACCCAAAAATGGAAGACTTATACGATAGGGACAGGCCCTGACGGAGGCATAGTCATTAATTTACCAGACCATATGCAGTCGAGTCGAGTCGAATACTTTTGGTCATCATGTTGTCGCATGTCCTTGAGCTGGTTAAAGGCCCATCAAGTCCGGCTAATGATGAGTTGGCCATTATGCCTGGGCCCATCGAGTCAGTTGATTGCATTGCCCGATTGGGGAAATTATCTCGAACCAATTCCAGTTAAGCTAGGGGCTTTTGGGCGGGGTTAAGACCTGATAGGAACTTTGAGGAAATTTAAACATTTCAAACACATATTTGGGGCTTTAAGGTGGAATGCAATTGCAGTAGGGAAATTAATGCTCCAAATACTTTGTCACTGTCATTACTGATAGCCAATATCAACTTACTACACTGATTTTAGGCTTCCAGGCATTATAAAAACAACTTACATTGACTTTTAAGGTCCAAAGTTTAAAAGCTTTCCAAACTTTCCAATATATTTGCTATCTAAGACAAAACCATGTTCACTTTGCATAGCCATTTCCTCGGGCATATTTTCCTAAATTTGTCAGAAATAGCTGAATGCTGACGGCATCAACTTCCGATACTTTCTGCC